TAATTCAGTGAAACAACAGAATAACAACCAAACAAATATGTGATCTTAAGAAACATTACTTTTACTAATATTGATTGATCGCATTTATTTGGTGAGCATTAAAGTTGACATTTGACATACGTACTTTGCCATATTTTATTTGTGTTTTACAGTAGTAGTCTTTTTGTAAAATAACTTTGGAACATCTTTTTCCTTTTGGCCTCTGTGAATAAGATTCTTAAACTTATACACGTCACTGTTTATTGCATGCAATGGGCAAGCTGCATTCCACAGATTGGGTGTAATATATACATTTATATCATAATAGGTCGGAAACAATGCTGCGTTTAAAAAGCGAGTGGTGCACATTGGTGTCTCAGGAGTTATCTCCCTTACCACATTGTCCCTTCTAATAGGAGTAATGCAATTTCAGAAATGTTCGAAGATCAGGTGATTTTCATTTGTCCGCAGTAAAGGTCTTGGATGTAGAACCAAGGGTACATAACCATGTATAGTAGTATTGGTCGTTGTCGTTTCAAAGTGACCATACTCCGAGGGAACCCGGAAAATCCCCTTGGGCAGGTATATCGTGGAAGTAGCCTATATTTTATGAGCGTTTCTTTAGTCTGTCATGACGCACATTCATACATTAATCCTTATTGTTTCAACGGTAGTGATGGTGAGTTGAGTTGTACGTCACATGGCATTATTCCTTCCATATAGTGACGAGATCAAGTGTGAATTCATACACATAAATTAGAACACAAGTATAAATGAGTTTTATTTTGAAAACATATATATTCATTACATTGTTATTTAAAAAACAGAAAATGTCGTAGCACCAAATTCAAAAGCAGGCCATTTGTTATTCACATTACAGAGCTACAATTTATGGTACATGACAACTTCCCTCAGGTAGCTAACAATGAGATGCCCGCTGACGCGGTGGTAGTGATGGTGAGCGTGATGGTATTAGTAGTAGTAGTAGTAGTAGTAGTAGCAGCAGTAGCCTAGTAGTATTAGTAGTAGTAGTAGCATTAGTATTATTATTAGTAGTTGCTGTTGTTGAAGAGTGAGTGAGTATGGTTTTACGCCGCTTTTAGCAATATTCCAGCAATATCACGGCGGGGGACACCAGAAATGGGATTCATACATTGTACCCATGTGGGGAATCGAACCCATATGACGAGCGAACGCTTTAACCACCAGGCTATCCCACCGCCCATGTTGTAGAAGTAGTAGTAGTAGTAGTAGTAGTAGTAGTAGTAGTAGTAGTTTTAAGAGCATATTCTCACGATGGAATTGCAGTAACAGCTAGTACTGTAATATTGACTTACTTTTCATCTCGCTATTCACAGGCCAATCCCTAGCAGTGACAACACCTGCTGCCTTACTTCCTTGTGTGATCGACCCCCACTGGCGACAACTGGTGCGGAAGTAACAAGGCGACCATGAAATCATCGCAGTCAAACCTTAACACATTTCCGTAATCAGCGTTAGTCGGGTTACAGGTGAACTATTCGGATGTTATTCACATGTTATATGCATTTAAGTTGTTTTGTTGTGGAAAATCTAGCTCACAAAACGCGGAAGGGTTCATAACTGTTGCTAGGCATTACGAACATCTGGGTTATGTTGGGACACGAGATGGTGAAGAATGATGCTTCTTTACGATAAATGTGAGAAAATATACTTCCCATCAAAAGTTTAGACTCACTGGAAACACTCACTATGTGTTATGCATATATATATATATATATGGTTACATCGAAGATTGATTTCTCCACTAACTTGGGGGGACCAACTGCAAACCACATGCAGATGAATTGTACGAGGATCATGCATCAAATTGCTGAAAAGCATGTGCAAATATTGTGCATGTGCATGGTGTAAAGCTTTGTTCAGAATTCGCCAATTTCCACTGAAGTTTATCATTTATTGAACTCATGACAATAATCTTTTCAACGTTACGAATTTGTTTTACAATACATCAGTTCATGTGTAAACAATAACTTTAAACAGTGTGGAATATTTTGCAAAATTTAGTTTATAACAGTTGCCTGAAGTAAGTGGCTATATTTTTTAGGGGAAGTATACATTGGACAGTAATTGTTAAAAACATATTATACGATCAGGTTTCAACACGTAAAAAACAACCACAGAAGTTTATAAGCCGTTTGACACAGACCTTTCTAGATATGCACATCCTCTCTCTCAGGAGTCAAGGGTGGGAGCTCAGGAGCTACACAAGTCAAAACATTGATTACAAAACAGTCTCGTTTCCTGTTGACTGGGTTCCGTCCTATTGCGCAACTTAGTACAATAACCAGTCCAGAATTTTTGAGACCAATTCATTTAACTGGATACATAGATATTAATCAGTATTATTTGATACATCTAAGCACTCGTATATTGCAACACTACGCTCCTTATAATCCATATAACATGTATAATAATGCAAACATGTCGTGCAGCGTGCTCTGTAGTACAGCGAGCACTGACAAACAGAAACCAGGAAATCGTTTGGTGGTCTGGTACGGACTTGATATCATATCAATCACATTGTGCGTTACAGAACTAAACTGAATAAGCGCAAAAAACACATAACACATGTAACCAGTGAGCCAGATGCATTGTGAATCATTTTACGATCTCATCAAACTGGGGCAGTCTGTGACGTCTTAGTTAAGGTCATGCTGCCTACACCTCGCCATAGAATATAGAAATACGATGTTATTAAAGTTTAAAATTAAAATTCATTTGTAAATACCATTTTCTTATTAAACAAGGAATTGGGATTCAGTGTAACCATAGTTGTTCGTTATGTCTATTTTCACCTTCACACGAGAAAATCCGGATCGGCTGAGAAGTAGGTCGTTGTCTGAATACGTTAATGAGACTCATGTTTCGGTTTGGGTAGCCTAGTGGTTAAGGCGTTCGCTCGTCACACCAAAGACCCGAGTTCGATTCCCCACATGGGTACAATGTGTGAAGCCCATTTCTGGTGTCCCCCTGCCGTGATATTGCTTGAATATTGCTAAAAGCGGCGTAAAGCTAAACTCACTCACCCAGGATTCAAGCTGCCAAACACGGTCACAAATCCAAGGACTCACCGTGATCAACGTTGCTTAATTTCAACTGATTTGTGACGTGGGCTGTATGCATAAGATCACACATCACACACACTTTACCCGTAAAGGTCCGGGTTAGTTTTGATCTTCAGTAACCCATGCTTGTCGTAAGAGGCGACTAACGGGATCGGGTGGGCAGGCTCGCTGACTTGGTTGACACATGTCAAAGGTTCCCAATTGCGCAGACCGATGCCCATGCTTTTGATCACTGGATTGTCAGGTCCAGACTCTATTATGTACATACCGCCGCCATATAGATGGAATATTGCTGGGTGCGGCGTAAACCTAAGCTCACTTACTCACTCACATACACTTTCTTCGTTTCGTTGTAGCTCACGAGATGTATTTACGATAATGTAAAGTTTGAATTTATTTTTTATATCAGAGTGAAGCATATACCTAAACTGTGTACGAACAGTAACATGTTCTCAGGACAAAGTGACAGTTCAGCAACACAAGTAATATCAAGTGAGTGAGTTTAGTTTTACGCCGCACTCAGCAATATTCCAGCTATGTGGCGGCTGTCTGTAAATAATCGAGTCTGAACCGGACAATCCAGTGATCATCAGCATTGAGCATCGATCTGCGCAATTGGGAACCGATGACATGTATCAACCACGTCAGCGAGCCTGACCACCCGATCCCGTTAGTCGCCTCTTACGACAAGCAAGGGTTACTGAAGGCCCATTGGCGGATCAAAAGGGGGGTCAACATAAGGTTACAAGAACATAAAGCTTCAGTTGAAAAATCTGATCTCAAATCTGCCCTCTACAAAGCGACCACGCGGAACACATCGTCGAAAATCCAAATCACTCATCATCCTGGCAACATGTCTTACAAAGCGACCACGGAACACTGATATCCTACACAGTTCATCAGTAATTGGCGCAAAAGAAAACTTCTTGAATCATCATTATATGAAGATTATGTACGACCGAGATCAACAGGGATCAAGGGGTTTACCTCCCTCTTCACGTACTCTTGTAGTGACATGTCTTACAAAGCGACCACGCGGTTACAGTTCAAATCATCATCACGTACTCTTGTAGTGACATGTCTTACAAAGCGACCACGAGGCTACAGTTCAAATCATCATCACGTACTCTTGTAGTGACATGTCTTACAAAGCGACCACGCGGTTACAGTTCAAATCATCATCACGTACTCTTGTAGTGACATGTCTTACAAAGCGACCACGCGGTTACAGTTCAAATCATCATCACATACTCTTGTAGTGACATGTCTTACAAAGCGACCACGCGGTTACAGTTCAAATCATCATCACATACTCTTGTAGTGACATGTCTTACAAAGCGACCACGCGGTTACAGTTCAAATCATCATCACATACTCTTGTAGTGACATGTCTTACAAAGCGACCACGCGTGGTTACAGTTCAAATCATCATCACGTTCTCTTGTAGTGACATGTCTTACAAAGCGACCACGCGGTTACAGTTCAAATCATCATCACGTTCGCATTACTCTTGTAGTCTTACAAAGCAAACCACGCGGTTAGTGACATGTTCTCTTTAGTGACAGCTTACAAACCACGCGGTTACAGTTCAAATCATCATCACGTACTCTTGTAGTGACATGTCTTACAAAGCGTTCAAATGTGTTTTGGTGTCAATATTTCACAACTTTTGAGATGCAACAAAGATTGCTCTATTTCATAGAACATTCTTTGATGAGGGGTTACAACCTTCAAGACACCAGTGAAGCTTTCAAAATGGAACACGGCTGGAGGACATTTCCATATCTGACGCATCAGTGACAGAAATGATGTCGGACGCTTTTCCCAAATTGGATTTGAACCATCCATATTTATTTATGTATTTTTAGATGAACAATTGACTCGCATTTGCTCCTATTTGTGACGGGTTCCAACCAGTGTATGAATTCATTTTGAGAAGTCACTGGCCAGGAGGGCTAGTTAAGTAAGAGTGTTGCTAGCCCACGTCACACTTGACTGGCCCTGCTAAATATCAATATCAAAATGCACATAGGTCAGAATTGGTGTGATGTATGGTAATAGCAGATGTTAAACGTTACATTTGTATTGTAATGGTTCCTAAGCTCTTTTCCACTATGCTATTAACATTTTTCAAAAAGCGATCTTCGTGTGACAAAGAGATAATAAATATCACGAAACGTTTGCGGACGGACTTTTAACACCTTATAATGGAATTCATTATATTCATGTACATTAAATAAAGAACAAAATTATCTGAGATTTACAGCTAGCCAGTCGGGATAGATTTGACAATATATTTTGACAGACAGACAGACAGTTTTATTTCAGTATATAAGGCCATGGCCCACTTTACAGAATAATTTTACATTATATTTGATGCTGGTAAAACCAGTAACAATCATACATTATTGCCTTTGAAAGCTATGGAACCATTTTTGCACAATGTACAGTATATTACTGGCCCGATTCATTTGGCTAGCGGGCCAGTAGCTATTTCGAACGCTTGTTCCACCGTAGTGGCAGGATACGCTTACCCTTTCGTATGTATCAAAAAGAAAAAAAGAAAAAAAGGCGTCTGAATGTTAGTCTGAACACGATATCACGGCATACCACTCGTCACAACCAGGCATAACAAATGACCCTCCCCGTACAGGCAGACCTCGAGTCACCACTGTAGCCCAAGATCGGTACATCCGGGTACTACATTTGCGTGATCGTACTGCCACAGGTGAGAGCACAGCAGCCAGGGTGCCTGGACTTCGGAGGATATCCGGTCAAACTGTACAGAGTAGGTTGAGAGAGATTGGACTGAGAGCCAGGAGATCCGACGTCGGGCCCGTGCTACGTCATTTACTATGGCGCTCAACGTCTCCGTTATTTAAATTATCCACTTAGTTGTTTAGACATTTCCTTCTTTTAAACTGATGCTAAAAATTCATTTCCTAAAGTCTATTTGTGGACGAGTAGTACATGTTTGAAAATACAACATTTTCGCAACAGATTTCTGGGTTATGCGTTTCTTTTCTTGAACACCTTAACATCACGAGCAACACTATTCTGACATTATAAATACAAAGTTATGACAGATTCTGCAAGACTGTGGGTATATATGTATTTTCCTTTACACCATGTTTACAATATTCTGACATTATAAATACAAAGTTATGACAGATTCTGTAAGACTGTGGGTATATATGTATTTTCCTTTACACCATGTTTACAATATTCTGACATTATAAATACAAAGTTATGACAGATTCAAAGTTATGACAGATTCTGTAAGACTGTGGGTATATATGTATTTTCCTTTACACCATGTTTACAATATTCTGACACTATAAATACAAAGTTATGACAGATTCTGTAAGACTGTGGGTATATATGTATTTTCCTTTACACCATGTTTACACTATTCTGACACTATAAATACAAAGTTATGACAGATTCTGCAAGACTGTGGGTATATATGTATTTTCCTTTACACCATGTTTACAATATTCTGACATTATAAATACACCAACATATCAAATATAGAACGTCGGTGCGAAAAATTACCCGTCTTGTCTGTTCCTCAGGAACAAATTCCGTTTGGCGTTAAGGGAAAACAGCTGTGAAATCTACATGAATAGATCTCTGATGGCAGGTGTTAACAGTGACGAGTCTTTGTACTTTGAACCTAAAAAAGACTGATGCTGCCAATTTTGTAGCATAAAATATTTTTCCAGCGACATTTCTAGTTGCTTCGATTATTTGGTCGGTGCTTGGCAGTATTTTCTCCTTCTGTCAAACATTTTCTCGTTGCTTCAAGTTTCTTTCAAAAACTTGAAATTCAAGCAACGAGAAATTACTCGAAGCAACGAGTATGTACTTCCAGCAACGAGAAAATACTCGAAGCAACAAGAAAATAATTGAAGCAACGAGAAAATATATTTAAATTTTTTGAGTGGCATTTTAGAAGTTGGGAAGTATAGAAATATTAATAGAAGTTGGGAATAAGCTTTATGAATAATGCTTTATTCCATGACAACGAGAAAATAATTAAAGCAACGAGAAAATATATTTAGTTGAAAAAAGAAGTTGTTATCCATAAAGCAACGAAAAATATAAGTTGAAACAACGAGAAAGAAGTTGAAGCAACGAGAAAAAACACTTCATTCAAAGTGGCATCATTAGGCTTTCATATAAACTAACTTTCTAACATTATCCAAAAGACGTTTATCTATTTTTTTCTTTTATGAAATGTAATTTATGTAATCTTGTTCCAACTAATGTCTCTGTTGGTATCCATGGCTACTGAAGTACCTCCATATACGACACCAAATCAGAATCCGTCATTTCAACAAGCACTTCTCGTTCAGTGCAGACTGAATAATTTGACAGCTCTGATTGGATGATTTTGTGTAAGGTTTTGCGTTTTTTAAATGTACTTCCATCAAGTAATTAAAACTGACCATATGTTTAAGTATTTAAAGCTGTCTACTTATTACATGATGATACATGCTGAATGTGACCACGCGTATTTTCAAGCGATTGACATTTTATGCGGAGCTGGGGTTGGTCTATTAGCTTCCTGTACTCTGAAAAGGAGCTGGCGTTTACATAGTTATTGTCCCTAAGGTATCACTGAGGCTATCAGTGAAAATCCTTGATTATGTGGCTATAAATTAGACTGTGGTACCCGTTTTAGTCTCATCTACCCCTGACCCTCCGGCAAGGATTCAGTGCTGTCAATGCACATAAACATCAGACATACCCGTAATTCTTCTACCCGCTCTCACGGGTACAGTTATGAAGATCCAACTCATTACTTCTTTCCACCTGGTAACCATTACTATCTCTGTGAGGTTACGTGAGGTGAAATGGGGATTTAACGTCGTACTTAAGAATATTTCGCTCATATGACGACGTGCATGCGTCTGTATGTGTATGTGCGGCTACTTGTGCTAGCCCAGACTTAAGCTGGTTTTATAGTGCTAGATCACTGAGATACCACGCCGCAATACCCCACTCAGACACATTATACTGACTCCGGGCCGACCAGTCCTTGTTGTACCCATTAATGTTGAGCGACAGGCAGGGACCAACAAGTACCATTTTTAACGTCTATTGGTATGACGTGGTCGGGGATCGAACCTGCGATCTAGTGGTGATATTAACAGGAGGAAACACACAAATATTTTATGACGGTAAACGGTATTGAAAACTGGGAATATTACAGACTAACTTACCCATCCACAGTCGACCCGGGTACCAACACTACAGGTACTCCTCCGGGCACTAGCTGTGGGGTCCTACTTCATACACAGCCCATTTCGCAACAAGCATCGACGGGATGGAAGACCCAGGCAGCATCACGCCAACCCCATCATAGCGGAAGACCGAAGAAGACCACAGACAGAAGCCCAGACAACCCGACAACAGTCGTTTCTGTACTACAATTTATCCATCACTCGTACTGTAAATATGCATGGTGTTATTTTGTGTATACAAATTTCGGGACGTATTTTTAAAAGAACAGTAAATATTTTAAGACGGTATATGTTATTGAAAACTGGAAATATTACAGACTAATTGACCACGTTCCTCTTAAACCTGCCGAGGGTCGTATTGATAACGAGCATCGGACATAATCAGGGACCAGTATCTCTTACAGAGCCAAGGTGCAATACATTTATCTGTCTTTACGGCTGTCTATAGATACGTTGTAAAATTATACCTTCGTGGCATAGTCGCAACTGGTCACCCTTTGTCCACATTTATCATCGATGCTTCGGTCAAACTAAATGATATAATCTCAAGTTCACAATAACAAAGTTATCTTAAGTTTTATCAGTAAGCGGAATAGGTATATAATACGGACAACAGTCACAAAACATTCGGTGGCTGTCTAATAAATTCACCCAGGTAAAAGACTTCACTTTCTTCTACTGTGTTAAATTCTTGATGCTATTATGTCTTAAGTTTAATCTATCGTACCTCAACCATATGTTACGACCCTTGGCTCTACCTTCAGGTTTATGTGGAACGTGACGTGCTTTGATATATTTCTGATATATTCTCTGTGACTTATATTTCAAATTTGAAACAGTGATTCGAACCCCTGTGGTTACAACACTCAAGGCCTCAGTAAAGCTTTCAAGACGTTTTATGGTAGACATGTGGAGGAAATTTCCAAATTTGATGCATCAGTGACAAACATGATGTCGGATGCAATTCCCTATTTTGACTTGTACCATACGTTCCCGAATTACTTCAGGTGAACACATGACTAGACTTTGCATATGTTTATGACGGGTGTCACCGGTGGGGAAGGATACGCTCACCTTTTCGCAAACACCTGGTATCATTACTATTTCATAGTGATTCATAAACACATGCTCTGTCATCGTATCGCATGGTGACAATCACTTGATTGTCTGGTCAGACTCGATTTGTTTACAAGCAACATCGTACACCTGTAATGCTACTGAAACAAATATCTGCTCATGATAAAGTCACAGTTGTACAATCGACTCTTGTTTCTTATGAATGTGGAAAGGGTTTTGTCGCTTCTATGTAATGTTGATTAACACCACGGTCTTTTGTGACTATTATAGAATGTACTTGGAACGTCTACAGGGGTGATTTGTAGAGTATTGAACAATTGCATTAATTGATCCGAATGTGTGGAAGATGAGATGCATGTTTTACTTCAATGTCCAGTTCATAATGATGCACGTAAAGACCCTTTAACTAAATGTAATGACGAATGGCCTGATGTCAGTCTACAAAATGATGATGTTAAGTTAAGTTTTGTCCTGGCCAGTCAAAATGTTGTACATGTAAGCGGCAAAACCTGCAAGGCTATTTTAAATTTACGTAATAGTATTTTATATCCTTTATAGGGTTTTTAATCCTCTATTTCTGTATATTATTCATTTTAGTTTTTATTTGTTTTTAAGTAAATTTAATTTGTACATTTTGTATGTTTAGTCTCTCATAACTCCAAAATGAGTGGCTCATTTTAATATTAAATATACTTTTATGTATGTCTGTCTCTGAAGTGATGAATTCAACATTGT